TGTGTAAAGAAAAGTAATTTTTTTTTAACAAAGTACACTGTGTTGCCCAGTTTTACCATTTATCAGAGTTGGATGTAGTAATATCAGAGTAAGTCAAGTAGCCTGTCACATACTTGTAACAGTTCTTTCACTTAACCTCATTTCCTACGTGCACCATAACAACAACTTAATTTTTAGTCTACCTATATTCCTAAGTGATAAACTGGATGGAAATTTCTTTAGTGCATTTCTCTGTTAATTCTATAGCATCTCCAATCTGCAGGTGTATTAAAGACTCCAGGATATTTAGACACTCTTCAGTGCCTAGTCTTCTCAAACCTGTGCCACTTTTAATAGTTTTATTGCACACGCTTCAATTAGAGAATGACTCCTTCCTTGCTGGTTTTGACAGTACTTTCTTCTTGTTCCAGCAGCTTGAAAATGCTGGGTAACCAGTGGCCACCCTCCTTAACAGAACGGTTAGTTAACTTAAAGATCATTATCCCCTTTACTCTCCACTGCCTGATTCCATCCTTGGTACCCACTATTGGATGACTTGTTTTTATGGAAACTATTTTGAAATATTTTAGTTATTTTTATCACTTGCCTCTAGCCCTTCCTAGGTTTATTTGTATTTCTCTTTTGGATGGCTCAGGAGTACTTGATAATATTGCCTTAAGTGGAGTGAAAGAACTGTTCAGTTCATTTGACACCTTGTAGAAGGAGCACTTTCTTGCAGACCTGCTACTTGAAACCCATGACTCTCCTTCATAAACAGCTATACACTGTCTTGCATCTGGGTAATTAATTCTGCCTCTCATAGTATTTCACTCCGTATATATACCTGTAAAATTTATTGGGTTCTATTCCTAGCTTTTTCTCCAAACTTGTCACATTCATTTTGAATTCTTGATGTTTTACTACATTAATTAGTTGACAGGCCATTTGTGCCAACTTGCATCCAGGAATGGGATGAGCAGCGTCAGAACTCCACCACCAGAGTCACTGGGTTATTAAGTAGACAGCACTGGGCCTGATCCCATTGCTGCCCTGCAGTTCAGAGTGCCCTCTTATAACAGGGGCAGCATGGCGGTGCTTCATCAACTGTACTGTAACCCAGCAACGATAGAGTTGAAATTCATACTTTCCTTCATGTTTTATTAATGTTGGGAACCGTCCACACTACTGACTGCTGCATTTTAGAATAATATATAGAAGACACAGAAATCATAAATATGAATTACTCTCTAGAATTGGTGTAGCAGTAGATTTTGGCCTATTAGAAAGAATCCTTTACCACAGTAGCCTCAATGCCAGACAAATGTTTTCAACTCAGCCCAGAGCTGAAGGCATTAATGAATTCTAATAGCAAGGCAGCATACCCTCCAGTGGGGTTCTAATTGACAAAGAGATAGAAAACTGAAACAAGAAGGCCAGCATGTCCTTTGGGGAGCTGGCACACAGCACCAGCCAACAGTGCATCAGGCTCCAGGCCAAAGAAAAGTGGGCCCTACAGTGCTATTGCCCTGTATAAGCTAGAAGTGGGTGTTCTTGGCTGGGGCTGTCAAGGGTCTGCAAGCCCCCTGCCACTAAAAGCACAATTATAGTTGTATGTGTGTTTTCCAGCAAACAGGTTATTCAGCTTTTATTTGATACTCAAAAGGATCCATGAAATATAGAGGGCTAAGAAGCTCTGTTTGCTTGATGAACAATAATCCAAACTTCAAACTGGATAAAATAGGTTGTTGGGAATTCATGCAACAACAATACTCAGGGAAAAGAGAATTAGCATCTATCCATTGCTAATTGTGTATCAGAGACTCTTGGAAACATTTAATCGTCACAATAACCTTTTAAGATAGAAAGAGAAAGGATTCGAATTCGGGTCTTCCCCAGAAGCCCACGTACTTGCTACACTACACTGCCTCTCTCTCTCTCTTTTTTTTTTTTTTTTTTTTTGCATTTTAGGTTTTGGGGTACATGTGAAGAACATGCAAGATAGTTGCATAGGTACACACATGGCAGTGTGATTTGCTGCCTTCCTGTCCTATTCCCCCCAACAGACCCCAGTGACTACACTGCCTCCCTAAAGGATGAAAGAGATTAACTATTGGAGATTAATAAAAAATAAAGATAAGCAATCTAAAACAATACAGAGATAGGATTTGATGTTCAAAAATGTGATTTTTTAAAACTTAGGAGCTTATTGTTTGCAAAGTTGAGTGATTTAAACCAAACTGACATCCTTATTCTGTAGGATGACCCAGGGTGCACCTTCAAGAAGGGGTGGTTCCTTCAAAAGCTTTTCAAGAAACTGAAGAAGTTTGTCAGTGGAACAGTTGTGAGGTCCAGCCTTACTGTTCAGTTTCTCATGAATATGATCATGTGTCTGTGAATGAAAAGATTTAATTCCTGTTTTGTATCTCTGTACCAACTGATGACAGTCATTTCATTGGTACATGTTAGATTATATAAATTCTACTATATTTTACTTTGTCTCTGAAGTATTAATTCTTTTCTCCCAGGCCTTTAAAACAGAGTTTAGGAAATACTTTTGCCCACATAACTAAATGCTTAACTAACCCTTGATGCTGCCTTCTCTAAAACTGTAAATCCCAAAGTACATATTGGTCATTGTTTTATGGAAAATATTATTTGAGAATATTCACTGACAATTTAGCAAAATAAATTACACACAGATTTCTGGAGTTTTCTTTATTGCTTTTTGCCAGTATATCTTACGTAAAGCAATGTGATCATCTGTTTGGAGAACTCTTGTTTGGGGAGGCTGAGCAGGATTAATTCCCGTTCCTGTGTTGCAGTGTAAACAGCTTTTTGCCTGTCTTTTGTCATTAATGATCATGCTGTAGATGTAGCCAGTGCATTGTAAGCCAATCTGTCAAGGCAAATAAACAATTCACCTTGTTAAAATTCCCTAAATCTTGCATTAATAAAACCTAAGTAACCCCCTGAACACTCAAGAGATGTCTTCCTCTATACTGCGGTGATGGATGACATGTCTAAAGATCCTGGAAATTAAGTAGTTCAGGTCATTAAAAATCTTCCACACTTGTTATTGATTTAATTTATTTTAAAAAGGTGGGGGTGGAGATAAGAATGTTATATCCTCCCCTCTTTTTTTAAAATCTGAAAGCTACCACTTGTACAGATAATTAAAACTATTACCTAGGAGAACAGGTCTGCATGTGTTACAACATTCAGCTTTATTATTCAAATAAGTATTGTATCATCCTCTTAAACAGATATCTAGAAAAAAAACACAATCATTGAAACATGTATCACAACCAAAATACCTTGGAGTTTTATATGTGTGATGATTCCTAGAACCTTTTGAGTCCTAGGCACTGAAATAATGACCTCTGGGCACCCAAAAAATTTCCTCAAATAGGTAAAAACTGAGATGAAAGTGAAATGATTTAAGGAAATTTAACTGAAATAGTAATGAAATTATGTCTCTGGACAGAAGGCCTTTTTCTCTTTATCTTCTGAACTTTTCATTTTTCTCTGGACTTGTAAGCTTTATTGTCATGTCCCAGTGTGTAATATATAGATGCCCAGTAAATTATTATTTAATTAATAAAATATAACACCCAATTTTTTTCTTCTGTCTTTTATTCCTTAAGCTTTCATGGGAACAGTGAGCTGTGTAAAGAACAGTAGCAGCCCCCAGTAGAGGTGGCTGTCTAGATCATCCCTCTCCAGGGACTGAACACTAAGAGGGCTGTGCTCTAGTGTGGGACAGAGGGCAACCTAGGAGGCCTGGCAGCCTGTATAGTCACCCACCCCATTTGTATGACCTGAACTGGGTAACGGTATTACATAACCTGATGAGAAATTGGGGCAACTCAGTATGTAAACCATGGCCAAAAACAAGATGTGATCTAGAACTATGTATCTACAAGGTACATAAAATTTCACCTCACTTTTGTTGCTTGTTATGTGTCTTATGCATCACCTTACACAGTATTCCTGATTAGCTGTGTGAATGATGTTTCACCATCAATTCTCACAGTTCTTTAAACAATATATACTTATTGGACAAAATTTACCCATGGTAGTTATGAAAAATGACCCTTAAGAATAGTAGTATTGAACTCAGAGATTATTATACAATCTTTGATGCTTTTCTCCTATGGTCTTTTGGAAAAGTGGGAGGGGGTGGTGGCAAACGTACATTCAGTTCACACACTCTGGTAGACTTAAAAAGTGCATAGCTATGAAGATACATACTTCTTTGTCAGATTTCTCTTGACATTGCATAATCTGGATCTCTGAATACTGACATGGTTATGCCATTATGCCAGCTATGTAGCAAAGCTCACTAAATGGAAGAACTTTATAGATTTTTTTTCGGCGTGTATGCTGATTTACATTTAGCAGTAAAGTTGTTACTGACCCTTTAAGTGGAGCTGTCCAAATGGCAATAAATGTCAGTTGATTCTAATGCCAAAACAGGTGATAATTGAGGGTCTTGACTAAATCTTTCAGTTAAAAAATGATTTATCATATTTCCTAAATATTAGTGGTCTCCTGTAGGGAGACACACACACACACACATACACACACAAACGTGTATACATAATGTATATCAGATCACTTTATCACTCAGTAAGGAAAATTTGATATACATATCTTAATAGTATTATTGATATTCCCAGGTTTTGAAATACTCTAGATTAGAATCTCCATGAAGGCAGGAAGCATTTCTACCTGGCTCCCCACAGTCTTGTCCCCTAGACAGCATCTAGTGTATAGTAGGTGTTGAATAAATGCCCATTGAATGAAAGAACAAATAAACTGCAGCATTTGCCAGCACTGCCTAGCATGTGTGTCAGCTTGAATTTCTGGTGGGCAAAACAGAGACCACTCCTCATCTTGACTCTGAGGAATGTTGCTGGTAAGAACTTTGATGGACGGTTATGACTTTTTGAAATAGTTCATTTGATTGATCGCCTAGCAAACTTCACTTCAGTTTCTAATTCTGTTTTCTGCTTTCACAGGCTGTCATTTTAGAAAATGAAGAACTTCCCAAACTGTTTCTTGATTTCCTAAACGTGCGACACTTGCCCTCTCTACCAAAGGCAGAAAGTTATGGGTAAGAATCATGTTTGCATATTGGATGTGTATTTTAAATTACACTTCAATGACTGATTGGTCTAACAAATAGCCCAGAGTAGTGCCCGAGTAGCCAGCCGGCCACGCCCACTCTTTTGGCTTGCTACAATACTCGCTCGCCCCCTGCTTGTGATCAAAAGAATTCCTCTAAAGTCCTCATGCCCATCTTGTGGCCAGATGGCCATGGTTTAGTAACCCATGTTTAGACTCGGAATCAATCTTTTCAGTTACACTGTTACATAGAATGATGTTACTTGATGGGAATTATGAATCTAGATAACTTGTTATGGACTCATTTATTAGTGAAAACTCAAGCAAAGTCCATATCCTGGTAGTACACATATTCATATATAAATATATTTTTTTAGGGGATGGGGGGATGATGGAGTCTTGCTCTGTTGCCCAGGCTGGAGTGCAATGGCACTGTCTGGGCTCACTGCAACCTCTGCCTCCCGGGTTCAAGCAATTCTCCTGCCTTAGCCTCCTGAGTAGCTGGGATTACAGGTGCACACCACCATTCCCGGCTATTTTTTTTTTTTTTTTTTTTTTTTTTATTTTTAATAGAGATGGGGTTTCACCATGTTGGTCAGGCTGGTCTCAAACTCCTAACCTCGTGATCTGCCTGCCTCAGCCTCCCAAAGTGCTGGGATTACAGGCGTGAGCCACCGTACCCGGCCCATATTCATATAATTTTAAAGCTGTTAATGACCTCAGAGATGATTTGATCCAACTCCTCTCATTTTGTAGTTAAGCAAACAGAGACACAGGAATTTAGCGTCTTTCCCAAGATCTCTTGTCTTGTAGCTGACAGAACCCAGGCCTTCCAAGGTGAGCCCTCTTCCTCTGCTGTCCAGCTGCCTCTCTCAGGAATTTCCAGTGGCAGGACCACAGACTCTAATCCCTATCTACCAAGGACCCAGAGGTTTGATATCATCAGCAGTTGGGAAAAGCTCTCCTGAAGAATTAACTCTGAAGCAAGTCGCTTGCCCAGCTATAGGCACATGACATAGGCTGAGCTAGCTTCAGAAGGCCTTCAGGAACATCCGTGGCATACTATATCCGTTTACAGAGAAGGAAATCATTACAAACTCTCTGAAAATTCAAGCAAGAGGCAGATTTAACCATTTTCTCACTGTTTCCAGACCTGCCTGAAGGAAACACACTAATTACAAGAAGATCAAGCAGACCACACCCAAAGTCGTTAAACCCCAGCCGTCTGCTGGATGACAGGGCTGCAGACAGTTATCACAGCTCCTAATGGGCACTGTTTATCAGGGCCATTTCCACTTATTGCAGAGCAAAAATTGTACACTACACTTGGCAAATAATATGTTGTCAGTGTGTTCTGTTCCAACTCCTATGTGTTTATAGGGTGGTTAGGCTTCATATATGTTTATGTATTTTTCAGAACAGACATTAGCAATAGCAGTGAGTGAAATGTTTTCTCTATTATACAAGCCCAAAAGTAATAAAACCTGAGAATTTTTAAGTAATCTTCAGGAAAATTGAAATCAAAGAATATTTCAGTCTTCAGATTCCTTAGGACGGTGCATAGCCATGCTGTGGCTCAGTGGAAACTCACAACTCTTTTTAAAAATATTTCCCAATTCAGTGGTCTGATAACATTGGGTATTTTTTCCTTTGTTGGCATTAACATTGACTCAACATATGTGGTTTTTCTTTCTTTTTCCCCCCCTTTCTCAAAACTTTTAGATCTTTTGATGAAACAGAATCTGAAGAGTCAAGGTAAGGGCTATTCTTCATCAGCCAGGAATAAGATTATGATCTTGCTAAATGTTTGATCACCATGATGTGTTTCAAGTTTTGTTTTTCTTAAAAACCTCTGTTTGGAAATTGGTTTAAGATTATAAATATTTGATAGGGAATTACAGGAGTAACCAGTTAGAATTATGAGTGAAGGAATAAGAGCCCTACATTGTTTCATGCAAGTAATAAGAATGTTTTATCAACAATCATAATACAAGATTTTTAGGAAAGCACGTTTCAGCAATGATTTATTGTATAGATTGTATATCTGCCTCAAATTCCGCAAAGAAATGTTTAGAAGATGAGAGCAGTGCTCATTTGTTCCCTCTCACTCTGTGCACTATTATTCACCCTCACTGTTAGAACATAAACCTTGAGACGTCCCCGCACAGCAGTTTGATCCCCTCAAAGCTAGTTTGTAGTGTTTTCTGTTTACCATCGTCCCCTGATGCTGACATGCCTGTTCTTGACCTTTCCAGCAAACTGTCCCACCAGCCTGTGCTGCTGTTCCTCAGGGATCCATACGTCTTGCCTGCAGCCAGCGGTAATCAAACCTGTCATCTGCTAACAGCTCTTTACTGATCTGACCCTGCACCACATAAACCACGTTTTTAATACAGGTCTAACAGAGTGACATTGGTCCAGGGCTTAATAATCTGCCAATAAACCAGTGCTCTTGGTGTAAGAGACATTTAAAATTTTAATTGGGGCTGGCCTTTCAGGAGGAAATGTAATTTTTCTTTCTCTCTTACCAGACTATTTTGAATTAGAGTAATAAGGAAGAAAGGTATTTATGGTCCTTAATTTATCTGGTCATGTCATTTTGGCCTCTCCTTTTTTTTTTTTTTTTTTTTTTTTTCCCAGATGCCGGGGTTCAAATTCAAGGCTCTAGTCTTTTCTAAAAATGCCTCTTCCCAAAAACTATGTATATATATATTGCCAGCATATCTCCATTTCTATTTAGATTATAGCATCTTTGATGACCAACTATATATTTTTTAAAGTTGCATATTTTAAATACAATTAATTGATTTAAGTATAATTGTAATCAATATATTTGACTGAGTCTTCTCTATGCAAAGAAATTTAAATTCATCAGAGTCCCTCTTAAAGTGTTCTCTTATGCATCTCTTTATGAGCTCATGTGCATACATTATCTCATTTAATTTTCTTAACAACCTTGTGAACTAAGCAGGGCAGATATTACAATTGGCTGAATGAGAAAATTGGGGTCCAGGAAAGTTCCAGACTTGTCCACTCTCAGATGGTTGATGGGTGAATCTCTTTTTGCCTATCTGTGCTCATTGCATATAGTGAATCTTGTTTCTGAACATCACTAAATAGTAATAGATAAATGATCCATTGAAACCCTTCCTATTTCTGACAATAAAACCTTACCATGAGCGAGAGAAAGGGAATTGCTCTCTATAGCGAGGATGCACGTACTCAGATTACCCACTTAGCTGTCAGTTTAAAGAAGGGTGACCAGGACGAAGCTCTGCTCCTCCCTAGGATGGGTAGAGGGACCCTTCCTAGAACCCTGATCACAGTGGGCTGCCTTTGCTATATAAGAATATGTGCTCATATTCTTTTTCCTGTAAGATCCTTGCAGTGAAGAATACTGCCTCTCTATAGCATTTGCTTCTTATGTTTAACAAATACACGTGATTTTAGTTGATGTTAAAATATCATATTTAACAAATATTCATAATGCAACCTAATATAGATTAAATAGACAATGTTTTATAAATTATTCTTGCGGTCTTTGAAAAGTGTCTCCACAAGCACTTTTTCCATGTAATCTTTATGCTCAGATATGTCATGCATCTGTTTGAAATTCCTGCAGAAGTGTAGAGAGTGAAATGGTTACTTTGGACTAGAATAGCCAGGATACTTGATGGAAGAGGAAAGATATTTTATGACCTTTAAATCCAGTTCCTCCAGGTTATTGAGCAGTGCCTATCATGTGCTATATGTCTGGCTTGACAGTGAAGAACAGGAGGAACTTTCTGGGAATGAACATCGGGGTAAATGTCTTGAGTTAGAAAGAGTAAAATGTATGTATTATTGGTAGCATGGCAATATGGATGAAGACTTGCAAAATAAGGGATCTCCTGTTTGAGAAATAAATGGATCACGGGTTTAATGGATGGGATGGGAGATATGGGAGGACCAGTCACCAGATCTGCTTTCTGAGAGTTTTGACCAATCCAGTTTCATGAATCAGATTCTTGTTATCGTAGGTATTGTACTAATGATATATTCTTGTAAATCTTTAGCATTTAATTTAAAGAGAAACTTTACTTGCATCACATTTTTGTTATTATGCCTCTTAGCAAGACATTAAGGTTATTATTGCAGAGGAATTGCATATGGAAATCTCTTCACAGATGTACTGAACCCCCTTACAAAGTCAGAGGAGTATCTTTCTTTAAAGATCTGACAAGCAATATCTTCTTATAAAATACTAATAATCGAATATCTCTTAGCTTTTAACATCAGAAGTCAGGTGAGTATGCTATTAACAGATTGAAAAGCATTTGCTTTTTGGTCTTTGTTTTGATTTTTCTGGAAAATTCAAAACAATTCTTGCTGATGTCCCCAGTGACTTCAGTGTGGCTAAAGCCCATGGATATTTTCAGTCCTCATCTTCCTTGGCCTTTCATGCACTTTAAACATGTTGATCAGTTTCTCCTCCTTCAAACACTGTCTCCCCCTGGCTTTCCCAGTTCCTTGCACTCGCTGGCAGCTGACTGGAATGCTGTCACACACCCTCTCCTCTTCTCACTACACTTTCTTTCAAATAATCTCCTTGTGCACGACCTGCCTCCTGTGTGTATCCACCACCTGAGTCACAATATTGTATTTCCATCTTAACCCTCTCCTGGGAGCTCCAGACTCTTAACTGTGGTTTGTCTACAAGGTCCTCCATAGTCTGCCCCAGGCTCATGTTCCTACTGGACCTCCTCATACACTCTGCCGTAGCTACACTGGATTCTTTCTGGGCCTCAGTTGTGCTGTTTCCTCCACCTTGAGCCTTCTTTTCTCCATCCATAGCTGGCTGTCTCTCATCTTCCAGGGCTCACACTGAATGTCACAGCTTCAGAAAACCTCTGCTAATTCTCCCTTTCCACGAACCCCCCTACTCATTCACAGTAAATGTTCGTTAAATAAGCAAAAACCCAAGAAAAATCACAACAAAACCTGCCCTGAGTCACCTTCCTTCCCATTACCTGTCAATGAGAACCAAAGGCAAGAACAGTCTTCTGAATAATGCTGGCCATAAATGGACATTGTAGTAAATCATGCATATGATGAAGCCAAAAGTCCATCAGTTTAAAGTGGAGTGGAACAGATGAGAAAACAAACCAAAACCCTGATTATCTTATTTCTGGTTACTAGTTGGTGGACCTTGCTGTAAAACACCTTCATCCCATTAACTTTTTGTCAGAGAACCCTATTTGCTTCATTCATATTAGTGGTCACAAAGGATCTTATCTTTGTTCTTTGTCTTCTAAATCCCCGGCATCTAGCGTATGCTCAGCTCTTGGTGGACAAACACACAGGGCCTTAGTTCTCGTGGTTCCCTCTGCCGGGAATGCCCTTCTCCCGGACACCCTCCCAGCGGGCTGCTTTGTCCCTTCCTGCAAGTTGTCGCCCAAATGGCACCATCACAGAGGTTCCCCCCTCACTTCCCTGTCCCTGGGCCCTCTCCAGCCCTGCCCTGCTGTGTTTTTCTCCTTGCCCTGTTCTTGTCACTGCTTGACATACTACCAGTGCAGTAGAGTTACCCACAGTATTTATGTTATTTTCCTTTATGTCTTTTTTGCTTCACTTATTTAGTTGAATCCTTTTAAGCAAAATATACTTATGATGTCATTTCACTGACCTTCAAATTGACTTTTATATTGTGGGTGGCAAAGGGTAAAGGCACATCTGCTACCTTCATGTGATAGATCCTATTTGGGTATCTTTTAGAAAATTAATCTACAGCTCTATTCATGGCAATTGATTTTGATACCCTTATATGTGGGAGAAATACATTTAGAATTAAAATTAACTTAGTTAAATTATTGCTTTGTATTGGGCTCTAAGTTACATGTATAAGGCCTGTCACAAGCTTTCAAAGATATATTTCATGAAAAATTTACTTCATGTTGGGGAAAGGCATCCACTAAAAAATTAAGTGTCATCAACCAAAAATAACTGGATACACATGTATGAGAGATTTTGTGTGTTCATTTGCTTGTCTCCCCAGTTTTTATAACAGCCTAGAAGGCAGATACTATTATAAAATCCATTTCACAGTTGAGAAAACAGAGGCACAAAGTTGTTCAATAATTCACCTAAGGTAACGCAGCTATTAAGTGGCCGATCCAGGACACAGAGGCCTCTCAGTAAACATTAGTTGAGGTAAACTTGTCACCATATTCTATCACTTACTTGACTTCCCCTTTGGCAAGTCTCACGGGTACCTCAAACACACCAAGTTGATGATCTTCTGTTTTACTCCCATTCTGGGTCTTCTCCCACCACCCTCTGGTTATGCGAGCCAGAAACTCAAGAGGCCTCCTTGACTTCACTCCTTTCCTCACTAGCCACATCTAACCTGTCACTTGGTCACATCCTTCATTTTTCCAGAATTCCTCCATGGTTCTCCATCCTCAGCCTCATTTGGGCTGCCATCATCTCCCTCTTGAACTGCTGCAATAGTCTCCAAACTGATCTCCCTGTGTCTGCTTTGAACTTGCTCCAGTCCATTCTCCAGGTGGCAGCCAGAATCATCTTTTTCAAAACAGAATTCGACTCTGTCCCACTCTACTTAAACTCCCTTATTGGCATTCCCATTGAGTTTCTGATAAAGCAAGAATTCCGTCCATTCTTCCCAGGTGTGATTCGGCATCCCGTGCCCTCCAGCCTCCTCATGGCCACTTCTCTCACTACGTTTGCCTTCGTTTAGGTCTCTGAACCCTCCAGGCTCCCTCTGGCTACAGACTTTCCACCTGGCTAGCTCCCTCTGCCTACCCCTAGCCTCTGAGAGCCTTTCTGCCTCCTCTGATGAGGCTCAATCCCCTAGTAAGTGATTTTATTTACATAGTAGACACTCAATAGAGGTTAGATATACTTTTTTTCTTAAAATATTGGACCACTTTAATTTTCTTACATAATAACTATATTTATTTATAATGCTCAGCTTAAGCATAGTTCCTGGATCTCATTATATACAGATGAAAGTTTAAAAATTAAACCTCTGAACCGTGAGATAGATTGGTTCCCATTCAAGTAATCCATTCAGATTTTACCTACTCTAATGACTGGAAGGTGGTACAGTATACTCTGCACCCCTGACCTTCCTTTCTATCTGTCTCCTGTAATAATGTAGCTGTGGGCCGTGCTTGGTGGCTTATGCCTGTAATTTCCAGCACTTTGGGAGGCCAAGGTGGGTGGATCATGAGGTCAGGAGTTCAAGACCAGCCTGGCCGACTACTGAAACCCCATCTCCACTAAAAATACAAAAATTAGCTGGGCGTGGAGGTCGCAGCTTCTTGGGAGGCTGAGGCAGAAGAATCACTTGAACCCAGGAGGTGAGGTTGCAGTGAGCCAAGATTGCACCACTGCACTCCAGCTTGGGCAACAGAGTGAGACTTCATCTCAAAATATCAAAATAATAATAATAATGTAGCTGTGTTTTCAAGTTTGGCAGGATGGCTTCTTTTGGAAATTTGCCCTCTTAAGTTAGAAAGACAGGTCCCCATCTTACTGCTCTCTAGAAGCTAGTCTAATAGAACAAGTGGACTCAAGACGACTTGGACTAAATGCGCTATAAACCACAATGGAAAAACTGCAGTGAGGTATTCCCAGTAGAAATCTTGGAATTCCTTCAAGTATATTGAGATTTTGTTAGAAATTGAATCGCCAGTGTAATTCATCTTCCTTGTGAGAAAACATTCAGATAAAGAGCTGAGGCCTAGCAGCATTAACCATCAGAACATCCCTTAAATCAATAAGCTACAAATCTGGCCGCACATTCCTGCCGCGCCTGGTGGTGTGCTCAAGTGGCTTTAGGCTGAAGCAGCATGACTGATGGCACATCCTAAACCAGGCAGACGCCAGCAATGCAGATTCCTGTGTTGACCGGGGGCCTTGCCTTGTTACATTCTACAGAATGCAATTATGTTTTATGGTTACACATAAGAAAAGCAGCTTTTCTTTCTGTTTTTCAGATTTTCCAAATGTGGTCATTGAAGGAGTCCTCCATGGGATATTTTACCCTCATCTACAGCCCAGGTAGAAATCCTACATGGCTAAAAGAAGCAGAAGCAAGTTTCAAAGTCACAGTCACGGAAATCAATACCTACCAAATTAACCTAAACTCTGTGATATATAACAGCTCTGGCTAGTGGCAAAATTCACAGTCCCAGCTTAATTCAGGGCAGGGATGTTTCCATTAGAATGGTGCTCTTAAAAATAGAAACTGAACTAGGGTGGTGGTCAGGCTAAGGCCAAGTGTTTAAGAAGTAGAGTGTAGCCTCCAGCTTAGAAACCCATGGAAAGGAGGCCACAGGAGATTCCTGGGAGCACTGGATGTAGCAAAACAAAGCCACTCGCTGCTTCAGTCACACCATTGAAAAACATGTCCTGAATCATACTGAGACTGATCAACTTTGGTAGCTTTTTTGTTCAGATCTTATGACACACTACTCTTCTCACCATGAGATTTTCTCAGCCAGTGATAGTACATTCTGAAATGCTGGCATCAGGAGACAGTCACAGACACACACTGCTAAATGTGAAGAAGGAAAGGAAGTAAACTGGAAATTAAGTTATACTGACAATATTATGGCATTGTTAAGATCATGGCATTTTAATTTAAATTAGAGTGGGTTGCATCATACTCAGGGGTTAGCTTCCAAGGTCAGTACATAGGTAAAATGGGCATTAGGATGATCCTTGAAAGCCCTTTAGAAAGGTGCCATGTTGGAAATCTGTACATCTACCACAAGTAGCTTTTCCTCCCAGGTTGGAAAAAAAAGAGTGTTTCTTTGTTTGAAGACCAAGTGAAGTTGTTGGTGTTTATTTAGGGGCGATTTTGTATAAAAAGCACATACCTTTAAACACTAGAATCATACTCAGTGCTGCAAGATGCTTGCCCTGTGAGTGGCAGATGTGAACTGGCAAGGAGTGAAGCACCAGCGGGCGGACAGCACCCACCTGTGTTTACTTGGGGGACCGCATTCATCATAGGCGGGACCACCACAGGATTTCCTGTTACTTTGCTATGGCTTCCTTTTCACTGACCTCATGTGTTAATGTAAGTTAAATGTGTTTATGATATAACTCCACTCTACATCATACTTTGAGTAAAAAAGGATAAAAGCATATATACTACCTACATGTATGTGCTGTATGTGGGCATTTCATTGAGATTTAATTAATAGCTAGCCTATTTATGGTTGTTCATTTTAATAAGTTTTTTGGGGGGAAATATTTAAAATCAAAACTAATAACTACATCATGGTTTTTGATTAGGATCTAAACATACGGTTTTAAGTCTGCTGCAAACTTGTAAAGATATGTTATAATAGACTTTGTTATTATATGTTGGAAACAAGCAAGAAATAATCAAGTGGTGTTAACCAAAAATAACGGAATAGTTGAGTATTTGAGGTTTTTTTTAATGTTTTTATGTTATTAGCTATTTGGAGTTAAATAAAAACAGAGAACAAGAAAATATTTGAGTTTGTCTTCTGCTCCTAGAATTTCATTGGAAACATGGTTTGTATCTGTCTGTTTGCACACACAGCCTCTCACATGTTCACACAGATGTTTACAAAAAGTTACCTCATTATTAAGTCAGTAGATGTTCATTAAATATTTGATGATTTACCAAGATAATAAGAACTTTTCTTAAAAAGACCAAGTATCTATAGCGATACACTGCCCAAGAACTCTTTTTTGAGAATCAAATTTTTTCTTAATGATGACTTTTACTTTTTATATTTATGTAAATTTTATTTTTTTAATTTTCTGTGTCAGAGAGGTCATATGCGGACATCATAACAAGATTTGTAGGAGGCACACGTCACACAAGGGTGGGAAAACCCAGTCGTCACGCCTGTGCACTACAAAAGGATTGTATTTATTTACATTTTTAATGTGTAATTCTATCAGGGTTATTGAAGGAACTAGAAACCTGTATAGGTCTTTTAAGCAGAAAAGGCTGTAATGCCAAAAACCGAATGCTTACAGAATCTTTTGGAAGGGTGAAAGGAGTGCTCTCCTGGTAGGTGTCCACGGACAAATTCTACAATGCCCCAGCAACTTCTAGCACTTACCTGCCTGGGAGCTACAGCCTGCGTAGTAAGCAGGAATATAGGGAGTCAGGAGGCTGTGAGCGAAGCTCTTAAAGTAAAAAATAGCATGAGAGCTGCAATCCAGGGATCAGCAAGTAGGATCAAAAAGTACCTGTTATCTGTGAGATATGGAGCTCCCAGGAGATACAATGGCGATATCTCCAAGAGGTACGGCCTCACAGCGGCACCCAGGAAGCTGGTGACTGTGCTTGCATCACAATTGCCTCTCAACACCTTTGGCCTTGCTTGCCAGCAACCATAGCCCAAAGTGGCAGGAAAATGGTGTTTGCCCACTCGCATCTCCCACTCCATAGTTCCCTTCAACACACATCCAGTTTGTAGAACCTTATTCTCCATTCCAGGTACAGGGAGTCTGGAAAGGAGCTGCTAGCCTTCTGCAGCTCAGGAACGCACTGGGTAAGATGATGGAACATATTTCCATCATTTCCATGGTTGAAAATTTAATAAAAAATATATAAAACTATAGATAAAAAAATAAATTCTTCTCTCATCTTATCTCCTACATACCCAATTCTCCTCCCACAGGCAACTACTGTACTTAATGTGTCTACTTTGAGTAATATTTCATCTTCATGCAAGCAGATACTGTATATTTAGTGTACATATATTTAATTTCTCCTCTTTTACAAAAATGGTAGCATGCAATACTCATTTCTTTCTATCTGTTTTTATTTAACACTATCTTGGGCATTCTTTTTATATCAGTATATAAAGTGCTATCCTCTTTAAAAACAAAAACAAAATGTATGGGTTTTCTATAATTTGTGTAACCAGTACCATTTTCCTTTTGGATTTGACTAGGCATGTCTGGCCCGTATTGCTGTACAGGTTGTGCACTGTGCAAGTCCAAGCAGTGCCATCACATGGACCACAATGTTAATAGTATTTCAAATCATGCTTGGAACCCTGCACTTGGGGAAATATCAAAAAATTAGATCATTCAAACCATGGAGTCACAGGCAATAGAGAAGTAAAGGACAGAGAGAAGAAACCAGAAGGAAAACATCCCATTACCATTTAAGTCAGGATGTGGGGACATCCCACTCTCACACCCCCTGGTTCCTGGACTCGCTGTTTTGCCTAGACGGTCTCTCGATGCTGCCTTATGCAGTGCCTCTCAGGCCTCATCTCTGCCTACCCATTCTGCTTATTGGCAGCCCTTGTGTCCTTTCTCCTGGTGTCCTTGTTACTGCCCCCATTACAATCAGCCATGTGAACAAACCCAATAACACCATGGCCATTGCTACATTGTAAGTCCTACAGTTACAATTATAAGCTCCCATTGGAAAAGGTTGAGCTATCATAATCAGAGTTTAGAGAAATATGATCACACTTTTGAAATAACAAATGGCTTTCATCTCATTTGTCAATTTTGATTGATTGACAGTAGCTGCTCGAAGTGCTGCGATAAGCATTCTAGCACGCTCCTGAGGATAGCTAGTATCAATAAAGCAGAAAATAACAAGGTGGAGAAATTAGAAACCTTATAACTATATATTGCTGGTAGAAGTGTGAAATGGTTGCAGCCTCTGTGGGAAATGGTATAACTTCTTCAAAAAATTAAGCATAGAATTGATCCAGCACTTCCACTTCTGGATATATACCTAAAAGAAGTGAAAGCAGGGACTCCTTTTCATTAAAAAAACAGCTATTTGTTTAATGATATGGTTTGACTCTGTTCCCACCTAAATCTCATCTTGAATTGATCATGGTTCCCATAATCCCCACAGGTCATCAGAGGGACCCAGTGGGAGGTAATTGAATCATGGGGGCAGTTACCCCCATGCTGCTGTTCTCATGATAATGAGTGAGTTCTCATAAGGGACTTTCCCCTGTCACTCGGCACCTCTTCTTTCTGCCATTATTTGAAGAAGGATGTGTTTGCTTCCCCTTCCTTCCTCCACGATTGTAAGTTTCCTGAGGCCTCCTCAGCCATGTGGAACTGTGAGTCAATTATACCCCTTTCCTTTATAAATTACCCAGTGTTGGGCAATCCTTTCTAAACATGTGAGAACAGACATACATATATCCATGTTCATAGCATATATTCATAGTAGCCAGAAGGTGGAAACAACCCAAGTGGCCTGCAATGGATGAATGGATAAAAAGGGAGGAAATTCTGACACATGCTGCAGCATAGATAAACCTTGAAGACATTCAGAGACATAAGCCAGTCACCACAAAGCAAATACTCAGCTGGGCGCAGTGTACTAAGTTTCTACTGGATGTCATGTGTTGTTGAACAAGGGTTTGCATATTTTATCCCATTTTTTACACAGTAGTATTTAGTGCCCCCATTTTTCTGAAGAAGAAATTGAAGATCAGTGAGATTAATAAAAATAAACAGTAGCTAACATGAATGAATACTAATTTGGGGACCAGGAGGCACTGGGCTAAATCATGTTCATGGACTATCTCATTGAAGCGTCACAACATCTTTAAAGATGTGTGTATTCTTATTCCACTTTACAGTGAGAAGGAAGCTTAGAGAAGTGAAATAGCTTAACCAAGGATACCAGTTAATAAGGGATCTGGATTTGAACCTTTGATCTACAAAGCTTGGGTGAATCCATTTCCCAGTCAGCCTTACAGTAGAATTGTATTTGTGTGTGTGTGTGTGTGTGTGTGTGTGTGTGTGTGTGTGTGTGTGTGTTTAATTGGAGACTCTTTGCACTGTTGCCCAGGCTGGAGTACAGTGGCATGATCTCGGCTCATTGTAGTCTTCACCTCCCGGAATCGAGAAATCGTCCCACCTCAGCATCCCAAGTAACTGGAACTATAGGAACATGCCATTACATCCAGCTAATTCATGTGTGCATGTGTTTTCTGTAGAGATGAGGTTCCACCATGTTGCCCAGGCTAATTTTGAATTTCTGGGCTCAAGCAATCCTCCTATCTCAGCCTCCCAATGTGCTGGGATTATGGTTGTGAGCACTGCATGCAGCCCAAGTGCAATTCTGAACCAGACATGAACTCTTAAATCAGAAAGAACTGATATTGCAATAGCTGCTAATGTTTCCACACTGTTCTATATTGCAAAGTGCTTTCCCATCTCACTTGATTAAACCAAGCTCCATACTAACAGCAGCTTCCTCCCAGGGCTCTCTGCTTTCATTTTTAGTGCAATCCATTCTTCTTAAAATGTTGATCAGATTATATCACTCTCTTGCTCAAAGTTCTCCAGTAGATTCCATTCCCACTAAGCATAACATTTAAATTTCTGCTGCCCTCTCCAAGGTCTTTCTACATTCTTCCTGCAGGTGTTCACTGGCCACAGTGGCCTTTCAGTTCCCAGAACATGTCAACCTTGGTCTATCCACAAGACCTCTGGACCTGCCAGTCTCTGAAACCCTTTTCATCCCTCTTCAAAGGATGGTTAATGCTCACCCTTTAGGTATCAGCTTAAATGTCACCTTTTCAAAGAGTTCTTTGGTCACCCCATCTGAAGCACCCTAGGCCCCACTCCATACCATTATTTTGTTGTTGCTTCTTTCAGAGCTGCTATCACCATCTGAAGTTATCCTGTTTGTGTACTTGTTACTGCCTTTCTCCTTCAAAGTATGTGAACTCCATCAGAGCAGGGGCAGCATCTGACTTGTGGACAGTTTCTCCAGTGCAAGGCCCAGAGTCGATGTTAAGAACCACTGTTGAATGGGTGGATGGATGGCAGCTTATCTTCTGGCCTCCAGGTCAGTGCTGGCTGCATATTCCGTAGCAGGGGTTTCAGAACTGTGCTTTGAGTAAATGACCTTGAAATCAGGATTGGCTAACATCTTCCCAGATTTCAATTGGTATTTGTTACATTCTCCTTGTTCTGAAAACAGTGACTTTCTATAGTTTGCTATTGACACAGAGTGGTTAATGGATTATGTAACTATGTATTTGGATGATCTCTTAGATGTCTGTTCCTTTTACAAATACCTAAGCTAATTCAGTGATTACAAACCATAATTTTATGACACCCCAGGGCAGTGGTTTTCAACTTGTGGACGCTGAACCAGTAGCATCAGAATCACCTAAGAACGTTGTACAGCTTTTCAGGGCCTATACCAGACTTGCAGAATCAGGCAGTCTCGAAATTTGACTAGCCCTCCAGGTGATTCTGATTCACCGTAAGGGTTGATAACCACAGTCCTAGGGCACCTCAAATTATTTTTATGTTGCACATTTTAAAATGTTTAATTTTCTTTTAATTAAAAAAGAAGAAAACACTTCAATACTTCTAGAAGGAGCAGGTACAAAATCAAACAGAATGCCAGCATAGCTACTGCAAGATGCTGTTGACCTTATAGTGGGGGTTTCAGACATGAGCTAACCTTTAAGGCAGCATTCCAATGCTCAGCAACTCAAGCAAATATC